GCCAAATCTTAAGCTAAACATGTGGATCTATATATTAATGGGCGTATATATTTAATAGTACTAGTATACTACAACGTAACTTGCGTACTTGATTTAGTTACTGCACAGATTAATTAGTAACCTTTTTTGTATAGAAGTAGATTAGTAAATTCAGCAGCACGTACAGTTTGAGTCTGTACATGAGATGAAAAGAGAATATAACTATTATGAGTGTGTTACTTGCATTAGTGAAATAAGTCAATAACTACGTACTAGCATCGACTGTTACAATATTCCCTTTTCCTAGGCACAAATATACAATACAGATGTTGCAAGGACATGGCCATGGTTCCCCTAATTCCAGCTGGGTGGGTCGCCTTTATTTGATTCGGCCAGTTTAAGCGGGTTCCGGGTCGGGTCTGCGACCTAATTTTCAGCAGCCGCACCACATGCGATCGTTTATGGCACGAACCATCCAGTGTGGTGGGGAGGAAAACCCCAATGGCCCAACCATTAATAACAAAGTATCCTCTGTTATCATCCCTAAAACCTTTGCCAAAAAAAAAATTTAAGATATATATATGTGCGAGTGGACCAATCAAACGATGATGATAATTGCTTGGAGGACTAGGGTCTTGTTTATTGACTGGACCACACGCAATAACGCGTCGCCTATGTAGAATAGATATATGTATGGTTGGTTTCTTTTTTTACATATGTCGCTGTTACATAGAGAGTCTTATGTTGTAACTCTTTCCGTGACACGGATTGGACTATCCAGAACCATGTAATTTGTTTGGAACGCATGTCTCCCTTAGGTTGATTGAATTTAGCCATCTTCAATATTTATATAGAATACCAAAAGTGTGGTGGGTTAGTGGTAACACAACTGGTTAGTTCCCTTTTACGGTTGTGTCCTGGGTTCAAACTCTCATTTGGTACGGAGGGTTATTATTTAAATCAAAATATTCAAAGATTGCATCCGGATACCGAAAAAATTATGAGCCAAATGTTCAAAATTTCAACGATTTATACAAATAAATATATATTATATGGAGTAATTTGTTTAGATGAATAATAAAAGAAAAAAAGGGTTTATGGTGCTGAAAAGTCAATGATTACAACAAACAAAAAAAAAAAGGGAAAGAGAGACTGAATCATTAATGTCATCCAAGGGCCTTGGGAAGAGAACATCCAATGTCTTAGATTATATGGTTAGATGAAACAGCTGCCTCATTCAATCATTATGTCACCATACCATTACTATATATCACCTTTTACAGCTTCATGTGAGAGTGTGATCGCGATCTTAGTATAGAAGAATCAGGACGAGACAAAAGTAATCTATGTGAGCAATATTCTTTTTTTTTTTAAATAATTAAATGTGAGCAATTATGAGTGCAGAAAATCTAACAAAACCTATAGTAGTGTTGTTACTTATTAAGAAGCGATGAGCAAAAGAGTTTTGAAATTTTGGGTGGAAGAAATATCAACTTCTGTGAAGAAGACACATGGCCTATATTTATGGATATCTTTATTTGATCGGTAACATTTACTGGCCCTTTTAGTGAAACACCCAAAAAAAAAAAAAAAAGAGGGTACAAACTAATGAAAAGTGTGTGATCATATGATAAACTCAACAGTGTGAGCTTCTCGCACTTTATCCAGTCGTGAACAATTTGCCCCATCATTTCACACTGTTTTTTCAACAGATTTCCCTTTCTTTCTTGTTGTCAATTGTTTGCAGCTTTTTCGTTTGTATAGCTACATATAATAGTAGCTTATAGTAATATAATGTCTCATGCATGCATCAGTCAACTTATGGCACAAACACTGTGTCATTTATCATATCCGGTGAGTGATAAAACTTATCATGGGTTAATGTCCGTGCGAACTGCCTGAATTTTGGGGCCATCTGGGGATATTTTAACTCGGATATTTCACTATTCAAAATTATCCATCAATAAAACATAGTGTAAGAATACGAAAACGTATTTTTTTGTAAAATTATCCACTCGTATTTCACTGTAAAATACAAAAACGTATTTCACTCGTAATTTATTTTTTTATTTTTTTAGCAAAAAAATACGTATTTAATCAAAACAAAATGAGCTACTAAAAAAAAGTGCTTGGTCTTTAATTGTAGAGCAACTCTTGAAGCGCTTACTAAACCGCCAGAATGGGCACGTTATAGGGCCTTGTTTCATCAAATTGAGGTACTGCGAAATGGTTTTGATTCATGTCTATTCGAAGCTGAATCGGTTGGAGCTAACTCCATTGCTCGAACCATTGCGATGAGTGTTACACGAGATGGCAGATTTAACTCGTACTTAGCCCTCGGCGGACCAGCTTGGTTACACGATTTGATTGATCGGGAAGGTAGACGATAGCATCTTTTTGGCCCTTGTC